TTAGAAATTCTTGGTTAAGTTTTTTAGTGTAAGCTAGTATCTCCATAACTACTGAAGGGAATGGATTGAAACTTCACACTCTTGTTGTCTGTAATTATCTAAGATGATTGGCACAAGTCCCATAACTCTGATTTACTTTTTTGCATAATTATGCCTCTTTTTCAATTCATAAATTCTTGGTTAAGTTTTTGTTTGTAAGCTTGTATCTCCATAACTACTAAGTTATGTAGTAAAAAATTGCATAAAATGATGGAGTAAAAATCATTTCCGCACTACTCCTCTGCAACTACTGGCTGGAATTCAAGAGGAGATGCGCATATCGTCGACTTGTACCGGTCAGACTCTTTAACTCAGAGTTATGGCCCTTGATTAGTTATGCAGTATGCATATGGAGAAAAAAATCGTTTCCACGCTACTCTTCTGCAACTACTGGCTGGAATTCAACAAAACTTTATTGCAACCTTTAATACCAAGAGGAGATGCGCATATCGTCGGCTTGTTCCTGTCAGATACTTTAACTCAGAGTTATGGCCCTTTATTAGTTATGCAGTATGCATATAGAGTAAAATTTGTTTCCGTGCTACTTCTCTGCAGCTACTGGCTGGAATTCAATGAAACTTTATGGGAACCTTCAATACCAAGAGAAGATGCGCATATCATCGACTTGTTCCGGTCAGACACTTAAACTTAGAGTTATGGCCCTTGATTAGTTATGCAGTATGCATATAGAGTAAAAATTGTTTCCGTGCTACTTCTCTGCAACTACTGGCTGGAATTTAACGAAACTTTATGGGAACCTTCAATCCCAAGAGAAGATGCACATATCATTGCCTTGTTGGGGTCAGACACTTTAACTTAGAGTTATGGCCCTTGATTATTTATGCAGTATCCATATAGAAAAATACTCGTTTCCTCGCTTACTTCTCTGCAATTACTGGCTCAGGAATTCAATGAAACTTTATTGGAACCTTCAATACCAAGAGGAGATGCGCATATTGGTGCCTTGTTGGGGTCAGACATTTTAACTTAGAGTTATGACCCTTGATAACTTAGGCAGTATACAACCAGAGCAATATTCGTTTCTGTGCTACTTCTCTGTAACTACTGGCTGGAATTCAATGAAACTTTATGGGATACTAAGAGGAGATGTGCATACTATCGTCGCCTTGTTCCGGTCAGATACTTACAACTCAGATTTATGGCCCTTGATTTAGTTATGTAGTATGCATACATTTCATTGGCATTTCCAGATATTACTATTTAACACAAAGTTATGGCTTTGTTATTGCCCTGAATATTCATCAAGTTCAAAGATTATTACTGTTTATGCCATGATAAATAAAGCCTTATGTCTTTTAGTTGTTGTGTTAATAATAACCAGTACTCGGCGGGGGATATAAATTCAACGAATTTGCTTGTTCTATTCGTTTTCATACTTTAGTCTTCCTAACTGAGTCCAGTATTTAATTAGTTGAGCTTCACTGTCTCCTGTGACAGCTTTTGTTGACTCATTTGTCACCAGACTTGGTCAGGATGCTAAGTAATTGCTCAGATGAATTTCAACATGGGTCATAATGAATGAAAAACTAGGTCACAGGAGCTAAAAATAGAACAAGAGGGGCAAGATGGCCTTAGATCGCTCATCTGACTCATCAAACTCATCTGAGCAATTATCCAGACAATCATCTTGAAGTTTCATGACAGTTGAATCAAAAATGTGGCCTTTAGAGTGTTAACTAGGTTTTTCCATATTTTAGCAAACAAACAAAAATTACCTAGACAACCATCCTGACCAACTGAGTCAAAAATGTGACCACTATCTAGAGTGTTAACAAGGGTTTTCCATATTTGAGCAGTGTGATCCAGTTTTTGACCACAGGTGACCCATAGTTGAATCGTCAATTTGCTTTCCCGAGCATAACTTAAGTTCCATTTGGCCCACAATATTCAAACTTCATAGGATGATTGTCCGTATTGAGTAGAAGACCCCTTTTGATTTTTGGTCACAAGGTCAAAGTCACTCTACCTTAAAACTGAAAACAGTTTCTGCTCAACAATTTAAGTATTAATAACCTTCAGCTGTCAAATTTTATAGAATGAGCAGCCAGTCCAATACATAACCCCTATAGATTTTAGAGTCATAAGGACAAAGATGAAGGTCACAATGATCTTTACACTGAAAATTGTGGTTTCTGGAGCAAAACTTAAGTTCCATTTGGCCCACAGTGTTCAAACTTCATAGGGTGTCAGTCAATATTGAGTAGAAAACCCCTATTGATTTTTGGGTCACAAGGTCTAAGGTCAAGGTCATAATTACCTTAAAACTGAAAACAGTTTCCACTCAATAACTTCAGTATTAATCAACCTACAGCTGTAAAATATGGACCAACAAATGATCATAATTCTACAATTGATCTTGTATTCACTAACATAGAGACCTACAGCTGTGGTACCTTAGAAACATATTACACTTACCACAAGATGTGCTGGATTGTCTGGAACAAAATGCATTCTCAAACAGAAGATCCTTTAGAATCTGTCCGTCCAACACCACTTACATTTATACATTATACATTACAACTGAGTGACAAAGTTATGCTCATCAGGAATAAAAGGAAGCATTCTAAATGGTATCTTTTATCTCTACTTCATTTTCCACAGTTATTCATAATATGATATTCTTATGAAATATTCCCATGTCTTACAAAATGCTTCATCGACCTTACTTAAAAAAACCAACACTTTTCGGGCATATAATGCTCCACCTGGCAGTGCGCTTATTTTAACACAGTTGTTGCCCCTTTATAGTATCTTGATTTTCTGCTTGATTTTTGTTTTTTGCACAGTTTAATGATGGCCCCTTCATGTTCAATTTGCGTGTGAAATAAGCTTGTCAGTGCTCCATTTCTAAAACCTCTGGGGGGGGGGGGGATTTTTAGTGAAACTTCACAGGAATGTTTGTCACCAAGCATAGTTTGTGCATACTCTTGATATTCTGCTTGATTATTTTTTTTGGGGGGGGGGGGGCAAAAATATGGCCTTTTAATGGTTTATTCTGAGTAAAATAATATGTCCATGATAGATCTCCAAAATTGCGTTTAAGGTAAACTTATTGAGTAAAATAAGATTTTCCGTCCTTCATCACCAAAACTGTTGGGGGTTTTTAAAAGGGGAAAATTTGAAAAGATTTTTTTTGACCCCCAACCCTATTTTGGTGCATACTTTTTAAATTTTTTCCCTTGTTTTTCGGGCAAAAAGTTAGGGACCTTTTTTTCTCTTTTTGGTAAAAAAAGTTTTAAACCCCAATCCCAAACTCCCCAAGGCCTTGTTATGAAATTATTTTACCTTGTTTTTTTTTGCTTGTTTATTTTTTTTGGCACGTAAAACCCCTTAATGTTAAAATTTTTTGTGTAAAGAAAAATTTTGTTGGGGGCTAATAAAAAAACCCATGTGGGATTTCAGTGACATTTTAAACAGGATTGTTTTTCCCCAACCCTAGTTGTGTATACTTTTTGTTTTTTCCTGCTTGTTTTTTTTTGGGCACTGCCTTTTTTATGGACTTAAAAATTTTTCTTTTTTTTGAGTAAAAAAAAGGTTTGGGCCACAGTACATCTCCAAAACGGCTGCAGGGATTTCAGTAAAGCTTCACAGGATTGTTTGTCACCATGCCTAGTTGTGCATAGTATCTTCATTATCCACTTGAATATTTTTTGCACAGATATGGCCCCTTTATGGTTCATGAGTAAAATAAGATTTTCCGTCCTTCATCACCAAAACTGTTGGGGGATTTTAGTGAAACTTCACAGGATTGTTTGTCATCAAGCCTAGTTGTGCATTGTAAGTCTCTTGATTTTCTGTTTTGAATATTTGTGGCACAATAATATGGCTCCTAAATTAACTATTTTCGAGAAAAATAACCTAGTCCATGCTACATCTCTGGAACCAATGGTGGATTTCACTTAAACTTCACAGGATTATTTGTCACAGTGTGTAATTGTGCAAAGTGTCTTGATTTGTCCATATATTTTTGACACAGTTATGGCTCCTAAATACTGGTCAATCTTTAAGTAAAATAAGCTTGTCCACCTTAATGGTCAGTTTACAAGTAAAATACGTTTGCTCACACGTCATCTCCAATAGCTGGGGAATGGGGAAATTTCAGGAAAAGTAAACAGTACTTGTTTGTCACCAAGTTGTGCATAGTATCTTGATTTTCTACTTGAATTTTTGGGCACAGTTATAAACCCTCCATGGTAAATTTTCGGGTAAAGTTAGCTTGTACATGCTTCATCTCCAAAGCGGCTGTGAGGAGGTGGGAGGCATTTCAGTGAAACTTCACAGGATTGTTTGTCACCAAGCCTAATTATGTATAGTATCATGATTTTTCAGTAAATTAACTAACTTTGTCCATCCTTCACCTCCAAAACCAGTAAGGAAATTTCAGTGAATCTTTATGAAATTGTTTGCATAATGGTGTCATGTATTGTCCAAGCCTAGTTGTGCATAATGTGCCATGATTTTGTGCAGGATTTATTTTCACACAGTTATGGACCTATGATGATGAATTTTGTTAGTAAAATCTGTTAAGACTATTTCTCCTACACTACTAATGGAATTGTATTGAAATTTTAGGAATGATATTTATCAAAGGCAGTCTGGTTTATATTATATATTGCTGATTTTATGTCAAAGTTTCCTTTTGTGAAGTCTTTTTTCAGTGACAGCTCTTGTTCATTGATGGATAAATTTTGAAACAATTCTGCATATTATGTCAGCCACATTTAGACAATGTGCCACTTGCTAGACACTGGTTTAAAGGTCAAGGTCACACCTCTAACATAATATTTTTTCTTAAAGGGCATGAATGGTTTTTCTTCCGTGAAAATCTTACTTATTGGGTGTTGATGTCAAAATTGAATGTGAACCAAGCAAGATCACATAATTTAATGACCTTGGTTCTCTTTGAAATGAGTTATAAAAGTTTATTTACTGTTTTACAGGAAGAGGAAGTATGTGTTCAGTGCATCCAGTGCTAGTGTGAAACAAGAATGGTGTGTAGACTTCCTACTGGCAAAATATGCTCAAGGTGATTAATCTTACTTTAATTTGCTAGCTTATTTGACATTTTTACACACATTCAGTTCCTTTGACCTCAAAGTATTTTTTCTTTCTTCATTTTATGTATTTCTTTTTATGCCACTGAAGGGCAGCATATAATATGATAATTGCACTGTCTGTCCGTCCTACAAACCCATAGGCACTTGTGTGACTAAGAAAACAATAGGTAAAGTTACATTTTTGTGCCCCCACTATAGGGGGTGGGGGGCATTTAGATTTACCCTTGTCTGTCCCTCCATCCATCTGTCCGTCTGTTCTCTTTTTGTGTCGCACGTAGCTCAAAAAGTAATTAACCTAGATTCATGAAACCTTACAGGAATGTTGATCAGCATGTGTAGTTGTGCACCTGGGTATTTTTGTGTGGATATTTTAAGAGTTATTGCCCTTGACTTAGTAAAAATTTACAATTTTCAACTTGTGTCGCATGTAACTCAAAAAGTTTATGACCTCAGCAGTAGGCCTGAAAGTTTACGAGAATGTTAGTCAGTCAGTTAAGAGGGGGAATATAGGAGTCACTCGGTGATCTGTTGGTCGGTAGGTCCAGTGGTTCATTGCATTTTCCTGGTCCAGAGCATAACTTGAAGACTAATGGTTGGAATTCAATACAACTTCATACAATGGTCAAGCACATTTAGAGGAAGTTCAGTGCATAAGAACCATAAGTCCATCTTGACTAATTACAGAGTTATTGCCCTTTGTTACTTTTCCTTGTCTGGAGCATAACATGAAAATTACTGGTTGGAATTCAAAACAACTTCATAAAATTGGTCAAGCACAATAAGAGGAAGTGCAGTGCACAAGAACCATAACTCCATCTAAAGTAATAACAGAGTTTTTGCCCTTTGATACTTTCCATTGCTTTTTCTTGTCCGTAGCATTACTTGAAAACCACTGGTTTGAATTCAATACAACTTCATACAACGGTCAAACACATTGAGAGGAAGTGCAATGCACAAGAACCATAACTTCATTTGGACTAATTACAGAGTTACTGTATTCCTAGAAAAGATTTCACGCATTTTAAGTTAGCGTTTTTCGCGGTAGGCATGATTCCGCGAATCTTTATAGCCGCGAAATATGTCAGTTATAACAAATCCGGGAACGTTTCTAGCTTCAACCAAATATAAACAAAAACATGCAGAATTTTTATTATAACATAACATAACCTAACATATTCTTTATTTGGCATAAAATGACAATATACATTTATAGCCAATACAGTAAACAATCATGTAATGTAAGAACATGATATACAATATAAATACCTTAACGAATTTTAATGCTTTACAGAGAAAGTTCTTGTTGCTACAAAATTTGAATAAATTTAAGTTCCTGTTATCTTACAATGGAAGAACATCATTAATAATAATATAAAGACCTTGACATTTATGATTATAATCTTGCTTGTGGATACATACGGGGTTTAATATGCAATGACAAAATTACAATACCAATAATGCACATAACAAAAAGACCCTGAAAGAAAAAATGTCAATTATAAGTAATTATCATGTTTATTGACGTTATTCGCTAGTCACGGCGTATTCAAAAGCATTTACAGTTTGCGTACATTGAATGACTTGGATTTAATTTGCTTGAAGTAGGTGTAATCCTTTGTTAAAAATACAAAAGCGATCAAGTGCAAAATTGATAAATTATAATGAGAGCGATGTACAGTCGGATACTGTTAAAGTAGCACGACATTACCGTTATATAAATCCAGACGTCTGGACCGAAAAATAAACCGGTAAATTTCCAGCTACTTTTAAGTAATACACTCGTTCTAGTTTATAGATTTTAAGGTCAATCATGAATTGCATGAATTGCTGAATCATTAATGTGACATTCATAATTGGAAAATAGGCTATACTGCATGCGCATATACCAGGGCGGAGACCGGGAATAATTTTATTTTGATATTATTTGTTTATGTTTTGGACATAATATACATGAAGGTTTATACCTTAGCCTCCAAAAGCTGTAATTTAGGCCGTAGCGACTTAATATTCGCGGAATTCACGTTAACTACAAATCCGCGAAAGTTTGTCTCCGCGAAAATGCCGATGTTGTGAAAAACGTGAAATATTGTATCCGCGAACATTTCTAGGAATACGGTATTGCTCTTTGATACTTTTCCTTATTCCGAGCATAACTTGAAAAGTACTGGTTGGAATTAAAAACAATTTCATACAATAGTCAAGCACAATAAGAGTAAGTGCAGTGCACAAAAAGCATAACTCTATCTAGAGTAATTACATAATTATTGCCCTTTGTTACTTTTCCATTGTTTTTTCTTGTCCACAGCATAACTTGAACACCACTTTTTGGAATTCAATACAACTTCATACAGTGCAGTGCACAAAAAAACATCACTCCATCTTGACTAATTAAGGAGTCATTGCCCTTTTCCTTGTCAGAAGCATAACTTGAAAAGTACTGGTTGGAATTCAATGGTCAAGCACAATAAGAGGAAGTGCAGTGAATAAGAACCATAATTGTTTCTAAAGAAATTACAGAGTTATTGCCCTTTGTTACTTTTTCATTGCATTTTTTTTTGTGTTCCCTGTACGTATGTCCTGAATTCATGTTGACCCATAACTTTGTGAGATTTTAAACTGTTTCACAGAAATAATATCCATATTGAGACAAGGTGTTGTGGGCAACATTTGGGTCGCTACCTTGAAGGTCAAGGTCACAGCATGATCTTGAAGCAAAATCGTGTCCGGCCCATTACTTATTTGAAGTCGGATTTTACAACTATTTCACAGAAATGATCACCATATTGAGACAATGTGTCTCAAGCACTATTTGGGTCGCTACCTTGAAGGTCAAGGCCACAGTATGACCTTGAAGAAAAATTGTGTCCAGCTCTTAACTTGGTTATTTGAAGTTGGATTTTACAACTTTTTCAAAGAAATGATCACCATATTGAGACAACTTGCGCACACAACATTTGAGTCGCTACCTTGAAGGTCAAGGTCACAGCATAACCTTGCAGCAAAATTATGTCTGGCCCATATCTTTGTTATTTTGTTACGAGCCAGGCGTAACGAGAAAGAAAAGCCAGCAACAAACTTGTAACAAGTAACAATAACAAATTTATTACAGAAAAATTATCAAAGAAAAATAAAATAACAAATTACGTTTACAAATACCTGAAGTCCAAATAAAAATGAAATCTTAAATGTCTAGTCTGATCCTGGAATGATCCTTTTTTGAATAGCACACTTAAATCCAAGTAAAATCCAAGAACACTTTAGAATAGATTCCCACAATAAAATCCACAAGAATAATTTAAACTATTTTAAAAATAATCCAAGCTCCAATAAATCACTTAATATCCAAGTTGAAAAATACTCCAAATATACTGATGACTTAAAAGGGTAACTGATGACTTAAAAGGTAACTGATGACTTAAAAGGTCCCCCAAATGAAAAATATCCCGTATTATATAATAAACTAGGAACATTCCAGAAAAGTCTATTATGTTCTATCATAATCTAGCAACTTCAACAATAAAGACCACTCCGGTCAAATTTCTATCTTAAAATAATGCATGAGTTTTCTACAACAGTCAAGAAAGCTCTAGCACACACATGTAGTTTACGTTCTTAAAACAGAACAACGACAATACTGGAAACACCAACTGGTCAGATATAAATTATATACATGCAATATGCTGCATACATAACACTTCCCCTCTTCAAGAAAAAGAAATATGAATGAAATGAATATTTCTTTTACATAAATCCAAACAATGTAACTTACAAATAACATAGGAGAAATGTTAAACAATTTTATACATTCATATATATGTGTATTACAAACAATAGCAAACAACAACAAAAAAAAATAATCAATCATATCATATAAATGTTAAATTTAAAATACTGCAAATAACAGTTTTAGACACGTGAAAGTGCATCAGGGATCAAATTATCTTTCCCTTTAATGTGTCTAATGTCAAGACTATATTCTTGCAAAAATAAGCTCCACCTCAACAACCTTTGATTTTTGTTTTTAAGTTTATGCAAGAAAGTGAGGGGATTGTGATCACTAAAGACAACAACAGGCAACTTTGAAGAAGTTAGATAAACTTCAAAATGCTGAATAGCAAGAATAAGAGCAAGGCACTCTTTCTCTATAGTAGAGTAATTTTTCTGATGTTCATTAAACTTTTTAGAAAAGTAACAAACAGGATGGTCAACACCATTCTTGGATCAATACACTTCCAGCACCTATGTCACTAGCATCTACAGCTAACTTAAAGTTTTTATTAAAATCTGGTGCCAAGAGAACTGGTGCACTCTTAAGTATGGCTTTAAGGCTGTCAAATGCCATTTGACACTTGTCATTCCAAATGAATTTGTTTCTTTTCTTTAGCAAATTTGTCAATGGTTCTGCAATAACCGAAAAATTATTACAAAATTTACGATAATACCCTGCCATACCAAGAAATCGCATCAGTTGTCTTTTACAAGTTGGTATAGGAAATTCAGAGATAGCTTTGACCTTAGCTGCTATTGGTTTTACTTTACCCTGTCCCACTACATGTCCTAAAAATGTTAAAATTGCATGACAAAATTCACTTTTTGCAAGATTAACTGTCAATTTAGCATCACTAAGTCAGTCGAAGAATGCTCTTATTGTTTTGAGATGTTCCTCCCATTCATCAGAGTAGATGATTGCGTCATCAATGTATGCGTCACATCCGTGTAGACCAGATATTACCATGTTTATAAGCCTCTGAAAAGTTGCTGGTGAGTTTTTCATACCAAATGGCATGACTTTATATTGATACAAGCCGTCTGGTGTTACAAATGCTGATATTTCTTTAGCTCTATCAGTAAGTGGAACTTGCCAGAATCCTTTTAGAAGATCAAACTTTGTTACATACTTTGCTTTTCCAATTTTGTCAATACAGTCATCAATTCTTGGTATAGGAAATGAATCAGTTTTTGTTACAGA